ACTATTTTTGGGCTACTTGTTCAAGTTAGACCTTTGAAGTAAGACCTTTGATGACACTTGAGGTACCTACAAGTAACCCTAAATTTTCTTTCATATCGATCATGGTGTCAAGAAGAAGGGCACCACCTACTGGGATCATCAGAGTAAGAGGTAGAAGGTAAGCCTTTGAAAATTTCATTGAATTGTTTGTTAGGATCACACAACAACGCACACGCTCGATCTAGATGAACACAAAAAACAGGATAGAGAAAAGTGCAAGGAGAACTCTGGCTAAAAGAATTTTTTTTTTTATTGATGACTTCACATATGTACAGTAAGAGAGAATTACAGAGAATACATAAAGTACATATTCAAAGCTCTACCGAACGGGATATATATATAGTTCAATTTACTATATATAGCTTTACCATATTTAACCATCTACTATATAACTATTTACTATATATAGCTTTACCAGATTTAACCATCTACTATATATAGCTATTTAACATACATAGCTTTACCGAATATAGCTTTACCAAATATAGCTTTACCAAATATAGCTTTACCGGATATAACCGTTGACCAAGCTATAAATAAGCAGCAGGCTCCATAACCTAACAATTCTCCCACTTGGAGACTGATCTAGTCAACCAAGAATTTCATTCTCAAACGACCATGAGCATCTTCATGGCACCATATCAATTGAGGCTTTGCACAACCTCAATATTCCAACATCAACACATTTTGTCAACATGTTTGCTGGATTCTTTGCATCCTCTATCTTCTCCAAACACATCATCATTTTTCACTAACCTGCAAGTGAAATGGTATCGTCTTCTGTGTTTTCTCTTTAATGATAGATCGGGTTCCTTCGCCAACTGTATGACACTCTAACTATCTCTATAAAGAATATCTTCATGCTACTTCTTGCTCATTCTTCCAGATAGTCATTCATCCATATCGTCTTCTTTCCAGCTTCAGCTATTGTCACGTACTCAGTCTCAGTACAACGCATTTTTGAAGCCTAGACGTCCCATCATTCATGGCTTGCTCCCACTTGGTTGTATACTCCAACTGTAGGGCCTCCTCAAAGGGTTGTGGTCCCCTTTCATCAGCAACAGATAGTGTAATGAAGGTACATACATATCTGGTACTCTGATAGTACAAGATGATCTTCTCAACACCGGTTCAGGTGTCACTTGCTCTACTGCTGGTTCCTCTGCAACAACCTCAGGAGTTTGTTGAGTATCTGCTACAAGATCACTAGGTGATTTTTTCCGCAACTCAATCTCAACTCCCACTTGCTTTGTTGTCTTGGAACCTTGCTCCACATCTGGTTCCTCAGCAGTAGTCTCAGGAGTTTCTTGAGTATCTGCTACAACATCACTAGGTGAGTTTCCTTGCAACTCAAGCTCAACTTCCACTTGCTTCGTGGTCTTGGAAACTTGCTCCACATCTAGTTCCTCAGCAGTAGTCTCAGGAGTTTCATGAGTATCTGCTACAACATCACTAAGTGAGTTTTCCTACAACTCAAGCTCAACTCCCACTTGCTTCGTCGAACCTTGCTCCACATATGGTTCCATTCCCAACCGCACTTTCTTCAATTCTCTGGCGGTCCTTGTGAAGCTAACTCGTTTCTGCTTGCTCATAACGTAGTTCTCACAACGACCCACATCAACAGATTTTAGACCTTCTAAAACTCTTTTCGCAGCCAGCCTCTTCATTCCTTTCGTGCTCATATGTTCGAGTCTATTGTGCCGTAGACTTGAATTTGAAGCACTCTCAGCAACAGCATCTATGTTCATACACCCTGCAGTGGTGTATAAGGTTCCAAATTTTGAGCCACGTGCTTCCACCATAGCACCCTTCATAATCTTCCACGAACTCTTCCCTAACTTTGTTGCATAACCTGTGCTGTCCAACTGACCAATGAGATCAGGTTTCTTTTGAGATCAGGAATATATCTGACATCATTTAATGTCCACTGATTTCCTGCCGAAGTTTTTATGCAAACATCTCCTTTTCCTTTAATCTCCAAATCTTTGTTGTCTGCAAGATACACCATCTCGAAATTTTCAGACTTGAAATTCCTGAACAACTCTTTATTTGGAGACAAATGAAAAAAATGCACCTGAATCCAAAATCCAGGATTCAATCGAACTATCCACACTGAGGATTAGAGCATCCCCAATGTCTTCTGCTGAATTTATAGAATCATCATCATCTCCAAATTTGTGATTCTACTTCCTCTTTGGTCTTGTACAACCTGTCCGAAAGTGACCTTTTTCTCCACAATTCCAACATGTTACGTTTAGTCTATTTGAAGATTTTTCTCGATTCTTTGATTTTGATCGCCCTTTGTTTGGGCCCTTCGGTTTACTTCTTCCCCGTTGGTCAACACTGAGAGCACTACCAGATGAATTTCCAATTTCTCATTTGCGAGTACTTTCGCTGAGAACTATATCTCGAATTTCATCAAACTTCAGTTTATCAAATCCTCGCGAACTGTTGATTGCGGCAACAACAGTATCCCACGACTCGGGTAAAGATGACATCAAAATCAATGTTTTCATTTCATCCTCAAAATTAATTTCCACCGAACTCAGTTGACTTACAATCATATTGAATTCATTTATATGATCAACAACAGATCCACCTTTAGACATCTGTAGGTTGAACAATCTCCGCATCAAATACACCTTGTTCATAGCCGACGGTTTTTCGTACATATTCAACAGCGCTTTCATCAGATCTGACGTTGTCTTCTCCTTGATGATGTTAAAAGCCACGTTTCTGGATAGCGTCAACCGGATTATCCCTAAGGCTTTTCGATCCTTGAGCTTCCACTGCTCCGTGGTCATGGTATCCGGCTTCGCCCCCAACAGAGGTTCGTGAAGATCTTTCTAGTACAGATAATCTTCAATCTGCATCTTCTAGAAACCGAAATCGGATCCATCGAACTTCTCAATTCCAATCTTTGAACTTTCCATCATCACAGATCGTGGTGAATTTTGCCTAGCTCTGATACCAGTTGTTAGGATCGCACAACAACGCACACACTCAATCTAGATGAACACGAAGAACAAGATAGAGAAAAGTGCAAGGAGAACTCTGGCTAAAAGATTTTTTTTTATTTTTTATTGATGACTTCACGTATGTACAGTAAAGAATTACAGAGAATACAGAAAGTACATATTCAAAGCTCTACCCGACGGGATATATATTTAGTTCAATTTACTATATATAGCTTTACCAGATTTAACCATCTACTATATATAGCTATTTACTATATATAGTTTTACCAGATTTAACCATCTACTATATATAGCTATTTACCATATATAGCTTTACCGGATATAGCTTTACCGGATATAACCGTTGACCAAGCTATAAATAAGCAGCAGGCTCCATAACCTAACACGGTCACTCAAGGTAGAAATTCCCTCGGCCTAAGTACAAAACATAGAGACACAGACCCAGTAATTGCCTATTCCTAGTCAGGCTGCACCTCCCGTCTAGCCAACTATCACGTTCACTTTGGAGGCCTTGTAGTCCTTCATGAGGATAATATGGAAACTCAACAAGTAGGGTATTGCATGCTATCTGAGCTAGCCAAGTATCACATTCTCCCCGTGAGTTTCAAGGGACCATGAAAGAGTCATGATTCTTAAGAGACTTTAAGAAGTTCGATCAACCAACGTTTGATAGAGGCCAGGTAGATCTCGTGGTAGTGAGACATAGCTAGAAGCAATAGAAACAACCTTTCAATACATTTACGACATGAAAATCTACAAAGTTCACTATGCCACTTATAAGTTAAAGGGCATAGCACATTTATTTTTGTCATGCACCAAATCTAAGAGGAGTTCCTAAGCCTCAAACATGGAAGGAAGATATTGGAAGAGTATGCCTTTGTTGGGTTTTATGTCCTAAAACTCATAGTTTGTAAACAAAAACATATTATATTTTCAATAAAGTTATTATTATTGTTTATTTAGTAAAGATTTTTATTGAATAAACTGAACTTTATGATTATTAATCTAAATCCAATAAACTAAGAACACTCTGACTATAGTATGATTACTTGAACTATATGTAGAGACATAAGAGTGAATCAAGTTCAAGTATATAGTTAAAATGATCTATAGTATAGGGATAAGGCTGAGTACCTTAGTACCTTATCCTGGGGACATTATGGATGCGGCCCAGTTTTGTATATGACATAAACAATGTGATCACTAAATTGTACATGTGGAGACATGTGAGTGGGGGCGTCCTATGCAATGAGTATTGCATAAGATCAGACCATGAAGAAAATCACTCTCACTTTATAATGTCGCTTACTGCTGAGACTGATTTTCTTTTCATTCGATGACCTAGGTAACTCGATTTTAATCCTAAGCTAACCATGAACTCCTGTTTATTCGGAATTATCCTTAGATTTGATGGGTGAAAGTGGCTCAAGTTCGCAGACTCAATAGGCCTCCCATTTCAGGGGTAAGACTGGGTGCATGGCTGGGTACGTGGGGTGCAAGATGGAATTCACTCCTACCCACTTTTGGGGATAGAAGAGAGGTAGTTCCCTTAAGCACTGACTCCAAGTCTTGAACAAGGGGCCCCACCCTCTCATTGGTCTGAGAGAGTTTCGGTTTACTGGTTGAACCACAAACCAATTATTCATTAGAGGATCAATGAGACATAAGGAACAAGAAGTAACTTTAGGGGTAAAACGGTAAATTGACCCAACTATAGTTACGAACAACCTGTGAAGGATCGACTTACTAATCATGGTTATATCAAATAGACAGAAATATATTTATAGTGAGGGGAGTGCAACTACTAGGCTATAGTGGAGTGTCCTAGTAGTTAACGAATGGTTGTTAATGAGTTTAACCGATTAATCTTGGATCGTTGGAGCCCATGATCTATAGGTCCATTAGGTCTCTCTACTAGCTCATATCGAACTAAACCATAGAACAGGGTGACAAGTGAGTTCGAAGTGTTTGAATTCAAATTAGGAAGAATGTGCTACATATATATGATATATTTAACCGCATTTTTGTTTTATTTACGAATTAAACAAAAAGAGAGAATCTGAGATATTTAAATAAGATTTAAATATCTTAATCAAATATGTGTCGGAATTAATTGAGATTGACATTTGAATTAATATTAAATATTAACTAAATAGTTTAATTAATCATTTAATATTACTTTAATTTGAAATTAATAATTCAAATTGATTGTTGAATCAAAATGAAGAAAGTCAAAATGTTGCCTTCATTTAATGGAAAAATCCATGTTTGAGTTAGTAGAATTTTGAGGTGTCAAAATTTGGTTTAACCAAACTTGCATGCTTGCCAAATAAACCCTACAAATTTTAGTGGAATTTTGAGTGTCAAAATTTGGTAAACTCAAACTTGCATGCTTGCCACAATCCCAAACATTTAAGTGGAATTTTGGGTGTCAAAATTTGGTGATCTCAAATTTGCATGAACATGCAAACATGACTCTATAAATAGAGTGACTAAATCCCTCCCAAGTTGAGTCACTCACCGGATTTCACAATCCTGTTCTAAGGACGGAGAATAGTGGAGAAAACACTAGTGGTGGTTCGAAACCGGTTCGTGAGGAAAAAGAAACTTGAGCGACAAAAGGTTAGTATTCAAACTCATTTAATCCTTTTGAACATGCTAAATAATTTACTATAATTGATGTACTTAGAGTGCCTAAGATCCAAATTGCTTACGCATGTGTTATATTAACACCATCAATTGGTATTCACTTGGTTATGCAAGTTTACGTTAGAACTAATTGATACAACAAAAGAAGAAGATCTTTCATTTTATTACGAGTTTAAGGGAGGATATCTAAGGGCCTATGACGGTTCGTACATCTGGTTTAAGGGAGGACATGCAAGTATCCACTATCACAAGTAGCAAGTAATAAGTAAATTATCGATTGCATAGAGAACCTATTTTGTTTAGTTACTTTGTTGCTAAAAACTAAGTGATTTTTTAGTATCATTCAAATGTGTGTCAATTACGGTGGAAAAACAAATAGTAATGAGAAAATCAATAATAATGAGGAAGGTTCAGCTATGAGAGTTTAAATAGATAAGTTGTTGAAATTTATGGTGGATTTTATCTTCTTTTGATAAATTCTCAAACCCTTTTTTGAGGGTCATGCGTGGTGATTACTTTCATAATTGTTTTGTAATTTCTATTAACAAGAATTATTTCAAACCCTTCAATTACCTTCACATATCCATGCAATGAAACTAGAGTACTAAAGAGAATTTTCTTGCTCTCTTCTTTTGAATAAGAGAAGAATCATGCATCTAAAGTGGCCAACTAGACAAATTTGTAAATCACTAATAGCAACTTTTTAACAAACTAAAAATTACACCGTTAACATACTTAAACTACATAAAACTCTCCCGCTTCCCTTATAAAGTTTAGCTCTCCATATAAACTTATTTAAACAGATGAATCATCATTTTAATCATGTAAAATTCATAGAATAAGAAAAGAGAGTAAATGATTAGAGAGTTATCAAACTTTGTTGTTGTTCTTCACTTAAATTCCCCTCCTTTGAGCTCTCTCATCCACCTCTTTGTTGTTTTTGTCCAAGTGGAAGTGTGTTGGGTTTTATGTCCTAAAACTCATAGTTTGTAAACAAAAACATATTCTGTTTTCAATAAAGTTATTATTGATGTTTATTCAGTAAAGATTGTTATTGAATAAAGTGAATGTTACGATCATTAATGTAAATCCAATAAACTAAGAACACTATGGCTATAGTATGATTACTTGAACTATATGTAGAGACATAAGAGTGGATCAAGTTCAAGTATATAGTTAAAATGATCTATTGTACAGGGATAAGGCTGAGTACCTTATCTTGGGGACACTATGGATGCGGCCCACTTTTGTATATGATATAAACAATGTGATCACGAAGTTGCATGTGGAGACATGTGAGTGGGGGCGTCCTATGCAATGAGTATTGCATAATATCGGACCATGAAGAAAACCACTCTCACTTTATAATGCCGTTTACTGTTGAGACGGATTTTTTCATTCGATGACCGAGGTAGCTCGATCTTAATCTTGAGCTAACTATGAACTTCTGTTTATTTGGAATTATCCTTAGATTTTCATGGGTGAGAGTGGCCCGAGTTCGCCGATTTAATGAGCCTCCCATTTCATGGGTAAAACTAGTGAATAGCTGGGGACATAGGGTGTAGGATGAAATTCACTCCTATCCGGTTTTAGGGATTGTAGAGAGATTGTTCCCTTAAGTACTGACTCCAAGTCTTGAACAAAGGGCCCCACCCTCTCATTGGCCCGAGAGGGATTCGGTTTGGTGGTTGGACCACAAACCAATTGTTCATTAGAGGACCAGTGGGACTTAAGGAACAAGAAGTAACTTTAGGGGTAAAACGGTAAATTGACTTAGCTGTAGTTACGAACAACCTGTGAAGGATCGACTTACTAATCATGGTTATCTCAAAAGAACAGAAATATATCTATAGAGGGGAGTGCAACTACTAGCCTATAGTGGAGTGTCCTAGTAGTTAACGAATGTTGGTTAACAAGGTTAATGAGTTTAGCCGATTAATCTCGGATCGATGGATCCCATGATTTGTAGGTCCATTAGGTCCCTCTGCTAGCTCATAGCGGACTAAACCTTAGAATAGTGTGACGAGTGAGTTCGAAGTGTTCGAATTCAAATTAGGTAATACACGCTAAATATATATAATATATTTAACCGCATTTTGTTTTAATCATGAATTAAAAAAAAAAAGAAAGAAAGAATTAGAGATATTTAAATAAGATTTAAATATTTTAATTATGAAAAGTGATTCATAATCAATATGTGCGGAATTGATTGTGATTAGCATTTTGTCTAATGTTAAATATTAATTAAATTGTTTAATTAGTCATTTAGTATTATTTTGATTTGAAATTAATTATTAAAATTAATTGTTGAATTAAAATAAAAGAAAGTCAAAATGTTGACTTCACCTAGTGGAAAAATCCATGTTTGAGTTAGTGGAATATTGAGTGTCAATATATGATTTAACCAAACTTGCATGTTTGTCCCATAATCCCACAAATTTGAGTTGAATTTTGAATGTCAAAATTTGGTTTAACCAAACTTGCATGTTTGCCAAATAAACCACACAAATTTGAGTGTCCAAATTTGGTTAACTCAAACTTGCATGCTTATCACATAATCCTAAAAATTTGAGTGGAATTTTGAGTGTCCAAATTTGGTAATCTCAAATTTGCATGAACATGCAAATATGTCTAGACTCTATAAAGAGAGTGATCAAGGTACATGAAAATTCTTTTTGAAAAAAGCTTGAGATTAACTCTCACAAACTCTCCCTTCATATACTAAATCCCTCCCAAGTTTAGTCATTCACTGGATTCCACAATCCCATTCTAAGGCCAGAGAATAGTGAAGAAGACACTAGTGGTGGTTCGAAACCAATTCGTGAGGAAAAAAGAATTTGAACTACAAAAGGTTAGTACTCAAACTCCTTGAGTTTTAATGCTTATGAACATACTAGTTAATTTACTACAATTGATGTACTTAGAGTGCCTTTGCTTCCGCACGTGTTATAGTAACACCATCAGAGACGTTATTCCATGTTCTATCATATAGTCCTAGAATCTTAAGTCCATATACTCTCTACCTCGATCTGATCGAAGTGTTTTAATAGTTTTTCCTAATAGATTCTCAACCTCAGTCTTATACTATCTGAACTTTTCCAGAGCTTCGAACTTGTGATGCATTAGGTAAAGATAGTCATACCTTGAATAATCATCAATAAAACTGATGAAATATTCAAACCCTCCTCATGCTTTGACATTCATTGGACTACAAAGTATGCACGAGTTCTAAGGTTTCTTTGGCTCTATAACCTTTTTCAAAAGAAGGTCGTTTAGTCATTTTACCCTCAAGACAAGACTCACATGGAGGTAAAGAGTGGTCTTCTAACTCATTTAAAAGTCCTCTTTTAACCAATCTCCCAATTCTATTGAGATTAATGTGGCCTAGTCTTAAGTGCCAAAGATAGGTATTATGAGAAATCTTTTGTCGTTTATTTTGAGTTTCAGCTTTTTTAAACATCTCGGTATTTAAAATAGATTTTGTTTTGCTCGATTTTAACATATATAAGTTGTTTTCTCGTTTTGTAGAACAAATATGAATACCTCTTTTGAAAATGAACACTTCATTGATTTCGAAAGATACTTTATACAATTGTTCTAATAAACAAGAGATAGATATTAGATTTCTTTTCATTCTAGGAACAAAATGTACATTATCTAATATAATCAATCTATCTCCGAAAAACAACTTTAAATTTCCTACTGATCTTGTTGAGACAACTTCTCCTATTCCAACCCTGAGTGTTATCTCGTCTTCCGCAAGCATTCTCCAGGAACTAGTTTCCTGAAAAAAGAACAAATATGATTAGTGGCCCTTGAATCCAATATCCAAGTTGAGTGATCATACTCTACTAAACATATTTCTGCAACTAGTAAATCATATTTACCTTGTTGTGCTTTTTCGACTTTCTTCTCTGCAAGGTATTTTAGGCAGTAACTTTTCCCGTGTTCGTTTTTCATTGCAATGGAAACATTTTCCATTATCTGCATTTTGAACCTTGCGTTTGCGGTTAGTAGGAATCTTATCTTTCCCCTTCCCCTTTTTGTCATATGCATCCCAAATTGTTCGATTTGCATTTGAACCAAGGTTTAGGGGACATTCTTCAGTTAAAACAAACCTCAAATCATCATTTATAAATATCGTGTTTATGTTTGATTTCCTTGTTGTGTAATTGTCGCGTTTAATTTCTTAGAAGCAAGTAATTTTACTATTGAGCTTGACATGCTGAGATTTGAAACAAATTCTATTAGTGAATTGACTTAATCCTTTTAAATCCAATCATGTTTAGCAAATGTTAATGTACCAAAAAAATATTAATTTGCAACGGTACTTTAGGGAGTTAGAGCAACTGCTACCGAGAGGCAGTCAATCACTCCTTCACTAAACGAAGACATTCTTGACTTAAACACTAATCTCATAATAACTCTTATTCCTATAGTGTTTTAGTTATCACCACTTTGGTCAAGAACATACTAACTCTTAGTAATTCTTCGTAAGTGTGACCCACCATTTTCAGACCTCAGAATCGGCCCCAACAATGCTATCAAATGAATAAGCTAAAGTTGGGAATGGACCTAAAAAATCCTATTCATTTTTGGAGTTTGCGTTGTTTTGACTCCCATGTTACGATCCTCGGAATGAGTAGTTGCTCTAGTGCAACATGCAGGTGGAACATGGGAACTCACGGTACAACCTAGTAGTGGAGACCATAGGACGTGTTGATATACTTCCTTCTCCCACTTACTATAAATACTTTCTCTATTCACCTTGTTATTGACTCATGCAAATACCTTCCGAATGGAGGCCGCTCCTAGGGTGACACGAGGCCGAGCATGAATCTCACTGTGTGAATTTTTCAAAGAGCGTAAAAAGAAAACAATGTATCTCAGATACCTTTTTCCTCCCACTAAGTATTTTAGACGGTTGGGTATACTCGTTACTTAGGTATATTCCGGCTAATTAAATATAACCAACCCTTAAAAATGTTGAACCGGACTCCAACCAGAAGAAAAACACCCAAACTACCTGTTCCATCTTCTTCTTTAGTTCAGCTTGCTTTTGTTTCTATTATCGATCAATTACAACCTTGAATGGACTTTAATGACTCCATAAAATTACATACCTTTCTTCACTCATTAAAGCCCATACACATTAGGCCAATTACAATAATTGTATCACATGAGAGCATAAAAAAATTGCCAAAACCATAAACATCCACTTTAGCAACCACAGAATTTCATTTACAAATGGTACCCACCATGCTCAAATTAATGTAAATAAAGTGCCTAAAACTGGATCTGATACCAATTGATGGTGTTAATATAACACATACGGAAGTAATTTGGATCTTAGGCACTCTAAGTACATCAATTATAATAAATTAGCTAGCATGTTCAAAAGCATTAAAATTCAATGAGTTTTAATATTAATCTTTTGTAGTTTAAATTCTTTTTTCCTCACAAACCAGTTTCGAACCACCACTAGTGTCTTCCCTACTATAATTCGACCTTTGAACGGAATTGTGGAATCCTGTGAGTGACTAAATTTGAAAAGAATTTAGTATATGTAATGAGAGTTTAGAGAGAATTTCTCAAAGTTTTTCAAGAATACTCTCCATATACCTTAATCACTCTATTTATAGAGTGATATTTGCATGTTCCAAATTTGAGATTTCCAAATTTTGACGCTCAAAATTCCACTCAAATTTGTGAGATCATGTAGCAAACATGCAAGTTTTGTTAAACCATATATTGAGACTAAATATTCCACTAACTCAAACATGGATTTTTCCATTAAGTGAAGTCAACATTTTGACATTTTTTGTATTTAATTCAACCATTCATTTAAATAATTGATTTCAAATCAAAATAATATTAAATGATTAATTAAATAATTTAATTAATATTTAACATTAAATTAAATGTCAACTCGAATCAATTTCCGCACATATCTCCAATTCTCTCATTTTGTTTAATTCGTAATTAAATCAAAATGCAGTTAAATATATCGTATATATTTAGCACATATTCCCTAATTTGAGTTCGAACACCTCAAACTCACTCGTCACACTATTCTATGGTTTAGTCCTATATGAGCTAGCAAGGGGACCTAATAGACCTATAGATCATGGGCTCCAACGATCCGAGATTAACCGGCTTAACTCAATAACTTTTTAACCAACATTCGTTAACTACTAAGACACTCCATTATAGCCCAGTAGTTGCACTCCGTCACACTATTCTATGGTTTAGTTCTATATGAGCTAGCAAGGGGACCTAATAGACCTATAGATCATGGGCTCCAACGATCCGAGATTAACCGGCTTAACTCAATAACTTTTTAACCAACATTCGTTAACTACTAAGACACTCCATTATAGCCCAGTAGTTGCACTCCGTCACACTATTCTATGGTTTAGTTCTATATGAGCTAGCAAGGGGACCTAATAGACCTATAGATCATGGGCTCCAACGATCCGAGATTAACCGGCTTAACTCAATAACTTTTTAACCAACATTCGTTAACTACTAAGACACTCCATTATAGCCCAGTAGTTGCACTCCGTCACACTATTCTATGGTTTAGTTCTATATGAGCTAGCAAGGGGACCTAATAGACCTATAGATCATGGGCTCCAACGATCCGAGATTAACCGGCTTAACTCAATAACTTTTTAACCAACATTCGTTAACTACTAAGACACTCCATTATAGCCTAGTAGTTGCACTCCGATATATTTATGTCCATTTGATATAGCCATGATTAGTAAGTCGATCCTTCACAAGTTGTTCGTAATTAGAGCTGGGTCAATTTACCGTTTTTACCCTTAAAGTTACTTCTTGTTCCTTAAGTCCCACTGAAGCTCTAATGAACAATTGGTTTGTGGTCCAACCAAACCGAATCACTGTCAGGCCAATGAGAGGGTGGGGCTCCTTGTTCAAGACTTAGAGTTAGTACTTAAGGGAACAACCTCTCTACTATCCCTAAAAGCGGGTAGGAGTGAATTCTATCTTGCATCCTATGTCCCCAGCTATTCACCTAGTCTTACCCTTGAAATGGGAGGCTTATTGAGTCGATGAACTCGGGCCACAAATCTAAGGATAATTCTGAATAAGCAGGAGTTCATAGTTAGCTCAGAATTAAGATCGAGTTGCCTAGGTCATCGAGTGAAAAATCAGTCTCAACAGTAA